AAGCAGAGGGAACAAAGAGAAAGCAAGAACTAAAATATCAGAGCAACCCCTAACATATATATATATATATATTAATAATTAATGAGCTCAGGCCCCTATTCCTTGTCCCCTTAACTCTTGCTCAAGGTTTTCTCAAATACCACTCATACCCTTAGTAAACTTTTCTAGAATAGAAAATGTCCCAAAGGGAAAGTCACATCAAATGCCTGGCTCACCTTCCTGAGCCTCTGTCTTTTTGAACCCTCCTGATTAAGGAATTAATATATCTCTGATGTCATCAAACAAATCTTTTAAAAAATACTTTTTCCCAACTCTGTAGTTGTCCCCAGCCTTAGGTCATATTGCCTAGTGCAATATTTCTTTATTTTATTTTATTTTATTATTCATATTTGCACACAATGCTTGGGTCATTTCTCCCCCCTGCCCCCACCCCCTCCCTTACCACCCACTCTGCCCCCTCCCTGTCCCCACGACCCACTCAACACCCAGCAGAAACTATTTTGCTAGTGCAATATTTCAAACAATTTGGTGACCTCTTACATCTAATGTTTTCACTGTTCTTATGCTTTTCCTTTTTCCTTTTCATTTTAATGAGATTTTGAGAAGGACCACAGATAAGGATGTAAAGATGCTGCAGACTCATCTTTAAGCTTCCTTCCTCTTTGATCCTGGGTTGAAAATTAATTCTGCATTATTTTGTTCACTCTGTTATATCCCCAATTGGATAATAAGAGTTGGCTCTTATTTGCACCACCTAGAGATTGACAGATTGTCATTTTTTTTTTTTTGGCACGACCCCTGTCTAGATGTCATGTTACATTTAGTATCTTTAGGCTCCTCTTGGTTGCAACAGTTTCTTATAGTTTGCTCACTTATAATGACTTGGACAGTTTTGATTTTCTGCATATGTTCCCCAATTGGTATATCTCTAATGTGTTCATCATGATTAAACCAAGGTTATTCATGGGTTTTGGAAGGAACACAGAAACAAGTTGCCTGTATTGGATCCTAACAGTGTCATGACAAAGTACCACAAGTTGTGTGGCTTGAAACAAGAGAAGCATTTTTTCTCACAGTTCTGGAGGCCAGAAGTCTAAAATCAAGGTGAGATAGGGTTGGTGCCTTTGGAAGACTAAGAAGAAGAATCTTTTCCAGGCCTCTGTCTTAGCTTCTGGTAATCCTTGGCATTCTGGCGATCCTTGGCATTCCTTAGTTTGTCGACATATCACTCTGATCTCTGCCTCTATCTTCATATGACATCCTTTCTGTGTGTTGATGTCAGAGTATGCCTTTTCTTTGAGAAAAGAAAAGCTATTTTGGATTAAGGTTCACCCAAATGATCTCATCTTAATTAATAATATCTGCAAAGATCCTGTTTCGAGTTAAGGTCACATTCAGAGGACTGGGGTTTAGGATTTGAATAGTTTGCAGAGGACATAATTCAACTTATAACAGTGAGTTTTCATCACACCATATGAAGGATATATGTTACCAACATGGCATATCACTGTTGACATGAACCTTGATCATTTAACTAGGATAGTTTTTATTAAGTTTCTCTACTGTAAAGTTATTTCTTTTCTTCTCACTTCTATATTGTTATATTTGGAAGGAAGTCACTATGTGTAGCCTTCTGTTAACGAGTGGAGACTTATTTTCCACTACCTCAGAGATAGAACATATACAAAAAATATTTGGAATTCTTTTGTAGTTATTCAGTTTTTTGGATCTGTATAGATTCATGGATATTTATTTTATAACTGGGGCTTAAATTCATTTATGTTTATTTTGTTGTTCAAGTTGTTCCAAGCTCTTTTGGTTGGCTCTGTGTCCCTTGGGTGTATTCTCATCATTGTGGGGTTTCTTTTCTTTTTTTGGTACTGGGGATTGAACCCAGGGATTTGCACATGCTCAGCAAGTGCTTTAACACTCACAGCCCCTATCATTGTGTTCTTTTTGAGTATGTTCTTACCTTCTAGCAGTAGGAGACATTCCAGGATCATCTTGTGTATTCCATACCCATGTTCTGGAGTCAGTCATTTCTCCAAAGAGCTCTGGTTCTTTTCTATTAGAAACCATGATCTAGGTAGTAGGTCTGCCTGCTGCTATTGGGGTGTCATTGTTTCTAAGCTCATCTCAGCAGACAGAACAAGGAAATAATGTGTTTATTCTGACCTGTGTATGTGTACATATCTATAACTATTTCTAAGTGCATCATTCATATCTATATTAAGTTAAACATGTCCTCAATTCTCATCCATTACCATAGTGATCATTCTGGCCTCCTCTTCCTTGTCACATTCCAGCAGTAAGGAACCTGGCTCTCACCATTTACCACCCATGTTCCTTAATTGTTCATTTCTATCTTGGCCATGTATGGTTATTTCAGAATTGTTGGACTGTACCTCCATGGGAAACAATTTTACCAACTAGAGTCCAGTTTTTAAGTATAGTTACTTTTATCTTTAGACTTAACAATTTCCACTCATTTCTGGAGTTAGTTTTCAAAGTTCTAAAGTTAGGTTAGCATGATTTCTCCTCCACCTCTTCAGTAAATCATTTTATACATTTGTAATAGTTAGGGCTTTTTTATACTCTACCTTCTATACTGAGATTTCCCCAACCTCCTATGTGATTTTGAAAAAGTGCATTAATTAAGGAAGGTCCAAAGTGCTGTGAAGGTCTATGGATTTAACACATGCATAATGATATGTATCCACCATTGCAGTATCATATGGATAGTTTCCCTACTGTGAAAAGTCTGTGCTTCATTTATTTAAATACCCTTCCTCGAACCTCTGGCAACCAGTCATCTGCTTACTATCTCTATAGGTTCGTGTTTCCCACAATGTCATATAGATGGAAGCATATGAAATATAGTCTCTGATGGTTAATTCTTTGTGCCAACTTGAGTAAGCTAAAGGATTACTCAAGTAATCAAGTCCAGATTGCTGGTAAAACATTATTTCTAGGTGTGTGTGTAAGGTGTTTATGGAAGATGTAAGCATTTGAATCAGTAAAGGGGATCTTCCCTCACCAAGTGTGTGTGTGTGTGTTTGTGTCTATTCTTTTGACTTTGTTTAATTACAGAACACCAATTTAATATGGTACCTAGTTCTTGGCTTATTTTAGAGGGGGTTGGGGTTCCAATGACACTATATGTTTCCGAATCTATGCAGAACTATTTGTTCTGCTTTGTTCACTCGATACCACTGAGATACCTGCCTGATCTTGCTGATCCTAACTGCAGGGATGAGTGCACTTTCTTAGTCTGGTCCTTCTATATGGAGTGTGGAAGGTGCTGGACACACAGCAGTGAGTGTTTCCCTGAGCCTGCCCTCTGGGCTGGTCAGTGCCATTGGGCCTCCTGTTTGATCCCTGCTTGTGTGAATTGAGGTGATGAGAGGTACTTTCCTGGGCTCCCCAGAGCTGCTATGTGGTAAGAGAAGGAGAATGGGCCTATGAGACAGAAGGTGTTTCCTTGGGCCTGCTTACCAGATCACCTGGTGCTTCTTAATCAATACCAGTACTACTGAGGGACAGAAGCATCTACCTGGGCTGCCTTCTGCTGCTGATGGTAGAGGGGGAGAGTCAGGAAACATTGAGCATGGTTCACCATGTAATCTGGAATCTGGGCATGGCTTGGCTGGATTTCTGCTTTTGGGTCTTTCACAAAGCTGCATTCAGGATGTTGCCTGGCTCATTTTGAAGACTGATCAGGGAAAGATTTACTTTCAGGCTCACTCATATGGTTGTTAGTAGTACTCAGTTCCTTGATGGCTGTTAGACTAAGAGCTTCAGTTCTGCTCTGTCTATTGGTTTGAGTAGTTCTTTGCCAAGAAGGCCTCTCCAAAATGGCAACTTGTTATATCAAAGGCAGCAAGAGCAAAAGTCTACTAGTAAGACAGAAGTCACAGTCTTATATAAACTAGTATTGAAAATGACATCTCATATTCTATCAGTTGGAAGAAATTCAGCTCATATTCAAAGTGAGAGGGTAAGAGATCCATTTTATATAAGGACACGAATGGCAGGAGAAGTGCATCATAGTCACTTCATAGTGGGCATCACAGTCACCATTAATAATTAATAATTCTTACAATTTTAGTGTTTAATAGCCACTAATGTTTATCATTTAAAGAATATTTACTAAACTTCAGATTTTTCTCCAAACAAAGGGGATAAAAATAACTTATTGTGGCTTTAGAACCTTTGTATAATATAGTTGAAAGGGCTACACATTCTTACAGAGGTGGTTGCTCCCTTTTTTAAACCAATACAACATTTAAATCACGTCTTCCTTATGATTTTTAGTACTTTTAAAGTTGAAAAAGAAATATTTATGAATTGTCTTATCTCCCTTGCTAGATTGTAGGCTCCTGGAGGACAAACTATGTTTTAACACTTTATATCTGTGACTGTACCCAAAAAAATACCTTCAGCATAAAGTTCAGCAAATGTCTATTTGAAGAATAATACTCTTAGTAGTAAAAGTAAAATACATATTTGGTAGAATAACTTTAGTTCACCTAAGTTCAATCACATACTAGAGAGACTGAATATTGATTGCAGAGATTAATCACAAGCAACCCCAACACTGAAAAGCATAGTAAATATCTGGTGAATAATTTAATAGATATTAATTTTTCTCTTACATACATCCCTTTGACATTGCATGTATATATGTTATTTGTTTTATATATGTATATATGATTTTCATGAACTATAGCTTATATTTTTTTCATAAAATCATTTTATATCTGCATTATTTATAATACATATATAGTAACATTACATTATAGAAGTAATAACATCACATCAACTTATCATCCAGTTACTCTTTATTTAACCTAGGTAGAATTAAATGGTTCAAAATTGCAAAAAAGAAAATTTATTTTAGAAGATGGTATATTTTTGTAAATTACTAAAAGCTGAAAATTTTCTCAAATTTTATATTTGAGGACTTATTGTGAGTCACTGTTTAATCCATAAATCTAATGCTACAACCATGAAGTAATTTCTGACTGCCATGCTATTTTAACATGTTTAATTTGTGGAGGAGTTTTAAAATTTAGATCCCAGTTGTATTCTGGTGATAATAGCTTGGTAGGTTTGTTGATAAAAAAATATTTGTTTAGGTGGCTTTCAAACATGCTGTCAAGTTTATTTTTGGTATCAGATGTAATTCCGTCTAGATAATGATCAATGAAGGCTAAAACTTCACGGGGTGTGCCACCAAAAATGGCACTATGGTAATAGAAATCTCCCTGTCCCAAGGGGATGAAAGCTGCTGATTTAGGTCTCCTCTCATAAGGGAAATATTTAATGTTTTTAAAATACCACCATGCATGGAGTTGAGCCACAGATGTACCCAGGGTTTCTACTCCAAAGTCATCCTTAAAGATCTGGTTTGCAGCCATAATGAAGAGAAAGTCAACTTCATGCAGGATGCACTCTTTGAGGAAATTACTGAATCTCTTTGTGTTCACAAAATTGAAGTCTTCATACATGTCTTCGTTGGCTAGATAAAATACTTTAAATGTTCGAAGAGGACCCAATTCTATGTAAGGAAGCTTGTTGATGTCATCAATCAAGATGTAAAAAATAACATTGTAGCCAACCATAAAGTGCTTATCAGCGGATTGTATAAATTGTTTCAGGTACTGATCTACAAATCTATGAAACATGAAAAAACAGAAAAAAATACTTTGATGAAATTCATCAGGAAAATACATGCCATTTAACATGCTAATTAACATGTGTCAATGATGGTAAAGAAGGTAAACGTAGCTGGGTTTCCATGGCTCATGCCTATAATTTTTAGCTACTCTGGAGGCTGAGATTCAGAGGATCCTGGTTTGAGGCCAGCTGGATAAATAAGTCTGAGAGACTCTATCTCTAAAATAACCAGACCAAAATGTACTGGAGGTGTGGCTCAAGCAGTAGAACATCTGGTTTGCAAGTATAAAGCCCTGAGTTCAAATGCAGTCTGAGGAGGAGGATGAGGAGGACGTAGATGAGGAGGCGAAGGAGGAGGAGGAGGAGTGTAAAGAGGTTGAATCTATAGTTCAATTGTTTTGGTTAGTGAAAGAGAATGTAGTAAGTTTAAGGACCTGAGAAGAAAGAGAAAGAGAGCTAAATGGATATTAATGAAAAGATTTCCAAGTAGTGTTAAGGACTCAGCTAAAGCTGGAGAAAATAATCATTATACACAATTACATGGGACAGCCAGAAATAATGCTTAGGTTCACTGTGAGTAGTTCTTTGGATGTGTTAAGTCCACAAATGCTCATTTTTAGTTTTCCAAATAAAACTGGACAGTTGGTAACACCTACTTTCCAGAAGCAAATGCAGCCAAGCCTATGGTAATATTCAGCCTCCTGTAATATTTTTCCAGGACCAGTCTATTGTAAGTTCCTTCCCATATGACTGGAGCAAGCCAGTCAGTTGTTGTCATAACATCAGGACGTTTTCTGTTGAACAAAGAAGAAACAAATCAAGCAGATAATAAAAATTATTATGGCAGTAGAAGTTGTCCAAGTGATAATAGCTAGTGATTATAGAGCACTTACTATATGCCAGACCCTTTGTTCAAGTACTTACATAACTATTTAATCCTCTGTTTCATATGAGGAAGCATGGGCACAGATTGGTTGAGTAAATTGCTTAGTATCACACAGCTAATAAATGGCAGTCAGGATTCAAGATCCAGCCAGTCTAGCTTCAGAGTCATTTGGGCATTATACCTTACTGCCTTTTGAGTCCAAGAGTTATTTCTTTTGAGCTCCAACTACAACTTAAATTTAGGTAGCGCACTGTCAGAACAATTCTGTGATTGTTGCCTAAAGCTGACAGTAGCACTGTCTCCTTATGTATTCATGGTTTTTTTCCTTCTTCTTTCTTTCTTTTTTTTTTTTTTTTGCAGTACTGGGGTTTAAATTTAGGGCCTTGCACTTGCTAGGCAGGTGCTCTACCACTTGAGCCTCGAGCCACTCCAGCCCCTTCCTCCTCCTGTTTATGTTTCCTTCTTCTTTTTTCCTGGGAGAGCTAGAATATTCCCTTTTCACCTCTTCCCTGATGCTTTAGGCCCATCGATGCAATTTGGAAGAAATGAAAAAGGGAAAAAAAATTAGATTTGCTTCCAATTAACTATAAAATGGCAACAGAAGTGGCGTATTATTAATAATTAATCTGGCTGGAGACAAGGCATTAAACTATAAAAGCAAATTAAGACACATTTTGAAAGGAATTGAAAACAAAAAAGTTATTTTGCTGTTGGTGATAGCAAGTTTTAATTACAAATCTAGAGCTAGACAAGGGTAAGATTTAGCAGTCTTTAATAGTATATTAATAATAACCTGGATGACCATGCCTCACGCCTGTAATCCTAGCTACTCAGGAGGCAGAGATCAGGAGGATCGTGGTTCAAAGGCAGCCCTGGAAGACAGTTTGTGAGACCATATCTTGAAAAACCCTTCCAAAAACAGGGCTGGTGGAGTGGTGCAAGGTGAACGCCCTGAGTTCAAGCCCCAGTACTGCAAAAAAAAGTATATTAATATACTTTTATATAATAATAACAATAATATAGTATAGTAATAGTATAATAATAATAACAATAATAATAAAAAATCCTTCAAAAGTGTTGCCTTTTCCATACTGAGGATTCTTTAACTTATACACTTATTTAAAAATCTCTCTAAGAATTTATAGGCATACCCTTCTTTTTAAATCACAAATCTCAAAATCTACCGTAAAATTATTCAGATATATTCTTGTTGCAGTGATGACACTTACAAATTAAGCATGCTGTGCATGTAAACAAAATCTGTTTGAGATGGTGAAAAGGTTTTAGGACCATCCTTCTTTTCTTATTAAATCAGATTCAAGGTTTACTCCCAGAATGAAAAAAATCTCTAAAAGCAGAAGATAATTAACCTATGTTAAGAAATTGTTTAACAAAAGCTAAAACAAGAGGAAGTAGAAGAATAGACTTATAGTCTTTATATTTATAAACCAATCTACAGGTTTAACACAGTTCCCATCAAAATCTCAATGTCATTCTTCACAGAAATAGAAAAATCAACCCTAAAACTCATATAGAAACATAAAAGACCCCCAAATGGCAAAGGCATTCCTGTGCAAAAAGAGCAATGCTGGAAGTATCACAATAACGGACATCAAACTATACCTCTGAACCACAGTAGCAAAACCAGCATGGTACTGGAGAAAAACAGACATGTGGACCGACCAACAGAGCAAAATAGACAACCCCAAAATAAACCAACACTGCTACAGCCATCTGACTTTTGAAAAAGGCACTAAAATAATATATTGGAGAAAAGACAACTTCCTCAATACTTGGTCTGAGAAAACTACATATCCACATGTAGAAGAGTGCTCTAGATCCTTTTCACCTTGTCCAAAAATATCAATTCAAAATGGATCAAATATTTTAACATAAGTCCTGAAACTTTGAAACTACTACTGTAAAACATAGGAAACAAACTTGAAAATATAGGCAATTTTTTTTGGAATAGTACTCCAGGAAATAAGAGCAAAAGTTTACAAATGGGACTATATCATATTAAAAAGCTTCTGCATAGCAAAGAAAACAATCAGAATGGGAGGATAAAGGATTAATATTCAGAACATATAACGAACTCAAAAACTTAAACAGTAAAAGGACAAATAATCTAATTAATAAATGAACAAACAAATTGAACAGTTCTCAAAAGAAGAAACACAAATGACCAATAAATGATGAAAAACTGTTTACCATTCTTAGCCATAAAGGAAATGCAATTCAAAGTGACACTGAGATTCCACCTCACCAGTCAAAATGGTTATCATCAAGAAAAACAACAAGAACAACAAAAAGAAAACAAACAACAAATGCTGGTGAGGATATGGGCTGCAAGGGCAAGGAACCCCTATATACTGTTGTTGGGAATGTAAATTAGTGCAACTACTATGGAAATCAGTATGAAAGTTCCTCAAAAAACTAAAAATAGAACTACCTTATGACATACTATACCATTCTTGGGCATATATCTGAAGGAATGTTAAGTCAACATGCAATAGAGATACTTGAATAACCATGTTTATTACAGCACTATTCACCATAGCCAAGCTGTGAAATCAGCTCAACCCAGGTTCCCAACACTGATGAATGAATAAAGAAAATGTGATATATAAATTGAGTATTATTCACCCATCTTTCAGAGGAACGAAGTTATGTCACTTGCAGGAAAATGGATTATCATGTTTAGTGAGATAAATCAAGCTCAAAAAGCCAATTACCATGTTTTTGTTCCTATGCAGAATCTGGTCAAAAAATGATTATGTTTATGATTATGATAACGGCACATAAGCATGAAAGGGAGACTGTAGGGCAAGGGAACCAGTGGGAGGGGGAAAGGAGAGGCTGCTAAGGGGTGAACATGATCAAAGTTAATTATACATATTATATTCAAATTATATATAATTATATACACACACATATGTATAAACACTCTGAAAATGGAGTAATGGAACTTGTCTTTGACAAAGGCACTAAAAATATACGAGGGCGAAAAGACAGCCTCTTCAACAAAAACTGCTGGGAAAACTGGTTAGCAGTCTGCAAAAAACTGAAGCTAGATCCATGTATATCACCCTATACCAATATTAACTCAAAATGGATCAAGGATCTTAATATCAGACCCCAAACTCTAAAGTTGATACAGGAAAGAGTAGGAAATACTCTGGAATTAATAGGTATAGGTAAGAACTTTCTCAATGGAACCCCAGCAGCACAGCAACTAAGAGATAGCATAGATAAATGGGACCTCATAAAACTAAAAAGCTTCTGTTCATCAAAAGAAATGGTCTCTAAACTGAAGAGAACACCTACAGAGTGGGAGAAAATATTTGCCAGCTATACATCAGACAAAGGACTGATAACCAGAATATATAGGGAACTTAAAAAACTAAATTCTCCCAAAATTAATGAACCTTATAGGCAAGTGAACTAAACAGAACTTTCTCAAAAGAAGAAATTCAAATGGCCAAAAAACACATGAAAAAATGCTCACCATCTCTAGCAATAAAGGAAATGCAAATTAAAACCACGCTAAGATTCCACCTCACCTCTGTTAGAATAGCCATCATTTAGCAACACCACTAACAACAGGTGTTGGCGAGGATGCGAGGAAAAAGGAACCCTCTTACACTGCTGGTGGGAATGTAAACTAGTACAACCACTCTGGAAAAAAATTTGGAGGCTACTTAAAAAGCTAAACATTGATCTACCATTTGATCCAGCAATACCACTCTTGGGGATATACCCAAAAGACTGCACACCCCTGTTTATTGCAGCACTATTCACAATAGCCAAGTTATGGAAACAGCCAAGATGCCCCACTACTGACGAATGGATTAAGAAAATGTGGTATCTATACACAATGGAATTTTATGCAGCCATGAAGAAGAATGAAATGTTATCATTCGCAGGTAAATGGATGGAATTGGAGAACATCATTCTGAATGAGGTTAGCCTGGCCCAAAAGACCAAAAATCGTTTGTTCTCCCTCATATCAGACATTAGATCAAGGGCAAACACAACAAGGGGATTGGAATTTGATCACGTGATAAAGTGAGAGCACACAAGGGAGGTATGAGGATAGGTAAGACACCTAAAACACTAGATAGCATTTGTTGCCCTCAACGCAGAAAAACTAAAGCAGATACCTTAAAGCAACTGAGGCCAATAGGAGAAGGGGACCAGGAACTAGAGAAAAGGTTAGACCAAGAAGAATTAACCTAGAAGGTAACACACATGCACAGGAAATTAATGTGAGTCAACTCCCTGTATAGCTATCCTTATCTCAACTAGCAAAAACCCTTGTTCCTTCCTATTATTGCTTATACTCTCTCTTCAACAAAATTACAGATAAGGGCAAAATAGTTTCTGCCGGATATCAAGGAAGTGGGGGGAGAAGGGGGCGGGGAAGGGAAGGGGTGGGGGAAGGGGAGAGAAATGACCCAAACATTGTATGCACATATGAATAAAAAAAAATTTTAAAAAAAGAAAATGGGTTAATGGGTTAGAGTATAAAAGAGGAGGTGAATTTGATCAAAGTACATTGTACACATCTATGGAAATATCACAATGAAACCCCTTTGTACAATTAATTTATACTAATAAAAATTACTAAAAATAATAGCTTAGATATGTAGCTCCTCACTTGGGCCTGCCAGAGGATATGTTATACAAAGGAGACTCTCAGTAATCCAGTGGACAAGATGAACTAGTCTCTGAATGTCATCTAGACTCCTTTCCTAGTCACCCTTGTTGCTGGCTTAGTGAGCCCATGTACAAAGGGTAGCCACATCTACAAAAATGGAGATTACATGTGGGCTTGGTAACGTGACCATTCTCTTGCTAAGGTTATAGCCAGCACCAAGTGCCCACCTTGTGTTTCTCTCAGCCTAC